TGTCCATACAAGTAGGTTGCAGCTTTTTGAGGGCCCACACCACCGCCAGGCACTCCTTTTCAATGGCAGTGTATCTACTTCCCTGGGCAAAAGTTTTCGGCTTAGAAAAGCCCCGGGTTGCTCGCCGCCATCTGCTCCGACTTGGCTCAGTACTGCTCCCAATCCAAACATAATCCAAACATAGAAGCGTCTGTATGGACGAGAAAGAGTTTAGTTGGATCAGGAGCAGAAAGTATAGGTGATTTAATGAGCGCCGTCTTGAGCTGTTGGAAGGCCTGTTCACACTCTGGGGCCCATACTACTATCTTGGGGAGGTTTTTACGCGTTCCTATATGGCACTTACTGGGCTTTAGGGTCAGTCCGGCATCCCTAATCCGGTCTAGTACGGCTCCTATGTGGGTCAGGTGTTCGGGCCAGGAGCAGCTAAAAATGGCTATATCATCCAAGTAGGCGCAGGCATACTCCTGAAACCCATCCAGTAGCCGATCTACCATCCTCTGAAAGTTAGCAGGGGCATTCTTCATCCCTAATGGCATGACCTTAAACTGATACAGGCCAAACGAGGTGACAAATGCCGACTTGTGGATGGCGTCCTCGGCTAATGGAATTTGCCAGTACCCCTTGCACAGATCTATTGTGGTGAGGTACTGGCCTCTGGCCATTTTGTCTAGGAGCGTCTGAGGTTGTTTTATCGTTTAGCCTTCGGTAGTCTACACAGAAACGGGTCCTGCCGTCCCGTTTCGGTACTAGTAATACCGGGGAGGCCCAGGGGCTGTCAGAGTGTTCTATCACCCCTAACTGCATCATTTCCTCAATTTCTTTCCGCATATTTTCCTTAACTGCTTCGGGTATGCGATAGGCGGTTTGGCGAAGGGGGGTCTGGTCTAGGGTTTCAACTTTGTGAGTGGTTAACGGACTGTACCCAGGTAGGTTGGAAAACGTGGCCCCCTTGTCCTGGATTAGTCTTTGGGCCTGGGTTCGCTCCTGGGGGTCTAACCGTTCTCCTAACTGTACTTCTCCCAGGTCTCCGCTAAGGCCCTCTTGGTCTAGGAGAGGCAAATTATCATAATCTTCAGTGG